TACGAGCCCTTTCCGTGGGGGCCAATGATTCGCCCCCAATAGCCAGCGATGGCGCCAGCTGACTATATCGGGACGTCGGAAACCACAGCCACTCGGTCTTGGATGGGTTGAGCCTGAGCCCGTTTCTCCCCATCCAGATCCGTACGGCCTCCAGGCACTGGGACATCACTTCAAGGGCATCGTTGGGGTGATCCGGGGTGGAGATGTACAGCTGAGTGTCGTCAGCGTACAGATGGTACTTCACCCCGAAACCACGGATGATCTCGCCCAGCGGCTTTACATAAATGTTGAACAGGAGGGGCGAGAGAACCGATCCCTGTGGCACCCCACATATAAGGGGCCTCGGGGTCGATCTCTGCCCCCGTCAACACAGACTGCGACCGGTCAGAGAGAAAGGAGGAGAACCACCGTAAAACGGTGCCTCCCACCCCCAACCCTTCCAGCCGGTGCAGCATGATACCATGGTCGATGGTATCAAAAGCCGCTGAGAGGTCTAACAGGACCAGGACAGAGGAACAACCCCTGTCCCGAGCCCTCCAGAGATCATCAACCAACGCGACCAATGCCGTTTCCGTGCTGTACCCAGGTCTGAAGCCCGACTGGAATGGATCTAGATACGACGCTTCATCCAGGTACTGGGGTAGCTGTCGCGCAACCACACTCTCAACAACCTTCGCAACGAAGCAAAGGTTGGAGACTGGACGATAGTTAGCCAATACTGCCGGGTCCAGGGAAGGCTTCTTGAGGAGAGGCCTTACCACCGCCTCTTTCAGGGTGGCGGGGAAGACACCCTCACCCAACGAAGCATTTATAATCCCCTGGAGCCAGCCTCGCGTCACCTCCCGGGAAGCCAGCACTAACCAGGAGGGACACGGGTCCAACAAAAATGTGGTCGCGTTCAATCTACCCAGAATCCTGTCCACGTCATCTGGGGTCACAGGATCAAACTCATCCCAGATAACAGTCTCAAGATCTGTCTCCATCACCCTCTCTGGATCTATCGCGTCAGAGTCCAGACCTGCCCGAATCTGAGTGATTTTGTCATACAGATACTGAACAAAATCCTCGGCTCTTCCCTCCAAGAGGTCCTCCCGCACTTCCTGGTGGAGCAGGGAGCGGGTCATCCTAAACAGGGCGGCCGGGCGATTATCTGATGACGCAATAAGAGCAGCAAAATGAGAACACTTTGCTGCTTTTATCGCCACTAGGTAATTCCTAATATGAGATCTTACCAGTGTTCGGTCAGATTCAGAAAGACTAGCCCTCCAACAGCTCTCTAGGCGTCTTTTCCGGCGCTTCATCTCCCTCAGCTCCTTGGTGAACCAAGGAGCCAGGCGAGATCGGCGCCGGGTCAGAGGCCGCAAAGGCACGACTCGATCCAGGGCTCCAGCCGCCGCCCTATCCCAGGCGGCAACTAGGTCCCCAGATAAGGCGTGAGCCAGAACCTCCGGGATTGGCCCAAGTTCCATCTGGAACCTATCAGGTTCCATCAGGCGCCTGGGGCGGTACCATCTTACCGGTTCCGCCTCCCTGCGGCGGGGTGCTGCGGTTCGAAGGTCAAGGCGAAGGAGCGAGTGATCTGACCATGACAAGGGCTCGATGACTATATCCCCTATCTCGAGATCACTCAACCACTGTCCAGAGACAAAAACCAAGTCCAGTGTGTTTCCCCCAGTGTGCGTAGGGCCATGAATTAGTTGGGTCAGGTCCATGGCCGTCATGGAAGCCATGAACTCCCGAGCCACCTCAGATGCCTCACCCACGGATGGCAGGTTGAAATCCCCCATGACCATAAGTCTGGGAGTATCAACCGCCACCGCGGCAATAACGTTGAGTAGCTCGGGCAGGGCTGCCGCCACGTGGCAGGGAGCCAGGTACATGATCAGCAAGCCCATCTGAACCCCATGGCCCCACTTCACAAGGAGGGACTCACAACCGGCTGTCTGAGGTACAGTGGTCTCCCTCAGCCTAAGGCCTTCTCTAATAATAACCGCTACTCCCCCGCCCCTCCCCTGCGACCTTGGCTGATGGAATGCGTGGAAACCTGGTGGGCACATTTCTACCAGAGGGACCCCTCCCTCTGGGCCCAACCAGGTCTCCGTAGTACCCGCCAGGTCCGCTCCCCCCTCGTAAACAAGATCACAAATGAGGGGGGCTTTATTTACTACAGACCTGGCGTTGCACAACATCAGGCGAAGGCCTGGGCCCTGGAGGTCTGAGCTACCTGGAGAACGGCTGGAGCCTTGGGGGCCGGAGCACTCTACCGCTTGAAGACAGCGGGTGCGTGCTCCCTTAACATGATATGGCCCCCTGCTCCCGCCATATCTACCTCTCCCACACACAGTACCGATGGTAGAAACGCAGTCTGGACCAGCTCGACCCCCTCCGGATCCCCCACCACCCCCGCCGAACGTCCTGGCCAAGCCCGATTCTCCCCCTAGTGGGTTATCCCCCAAACTCACAACCCTAATTCCAATCCCACCCCCCTCCCCCCTCCCAGAACCCCTTAAAAGTTTAAACAAGGACAATTTTAAAAAACCCCGCAGCCCCCTCTTTGCAGCATGCCACCTCTCGGGACTCCAGAGCCCGTCATCGAGGTAGGCCCTCGATAGAATGGAGGGCCAAGCCTGCGAGAGGGGGGAGTCTCGCAGACCAAGAAGCTCCGCTGCTGAGTACATTAATCATAATGGGTGACACGACCATATCCTGAGGGTGTATATACAGGACCAAGGAGAAGACAAAAAGATGGGAGAAATCTCAGAGACATATTTGCAGGACCAAGTCCCCTGTCCCCTCACAACAGAGGACATAGTCCAAAGCCAGGACGACCACAGTTCCAAGGGGGAAATAGATCCAACCACCCTCTCACGGTGGTTAGGTCAGCTGGACAGCCCCCTCTTGTGGTGGGGTGGCAGCAATGAGCCGATGCATATAGACAGCGTCCAGGGGTCAGGTCCAAAAATCGCCCTCTCACAGCGTTTTGTCCAGTGGTAAAGACCGATGGTAAAGTCCCCTCGCTGGTAAAGTGCATATATGTAGAAAGCTGGTAAAGTGCATATATGTAAAAAAGCGTCCCGGTTTAGCCCCCAGGGGCTCTGACACCTGGTCACCCTCTCACGGTGGTCAGGCAATGTCTGGCCCCCTCAGCCGACGGGATGCAGCCATGTACCCCCAGTCTCCCATTTAGGTGGAAAATAGCCCTCTCCAGAGTCAGGGGGGGTTCAAAATAGTAATAGAGCATAGCACCAATGAGTCCCACAGGCTGACAGTTGGTCCAGGTGGGCCCAGTTCTAACGAGGGAACGCTGGGGGAGAGAGAAATGGGGCAAAATGGGGCAGTTTTCTCGAGCCCCCAGCCCCCCCCCCCACAACCACAAATTGAGGCCTCCCAGGGCCCAGAAGATCACTCCGGGTCATTTTCACCCCAACCGTGGTTGCAGGTCTCCCAGTCCTGTTGGTTTGTTGCCCCCCAGCTCCTTTTCCAAAGGGGGGGGGTCCCCAGCACCGTCTGACCGTCAGCTTGCCTCCACAGCAACCGCCATCACCGCTGCCCCCGCGCCCATATCGCCAGCCCCCGAAAGAGCCCGGCGACGTCCCAGAGATCTTCTGGGGGTGCCCGACACATCTTGCAACCCTTCGGGCAACCCCCCCGGGCTTGGAAAACTCGCTGCGCAGTGGGCGCCTGCCGCTCCAGTTAATTGCTGGCCTCCGGCTGTTAGAAAAACGCCGACGTTGCCGACGCCCAGCTGATCAGCCTGACGCTCCGTGCATCGCCCCTTCCTCTCTGCTCAGTCACGGAGGGAAAGAAAACCCTCTCCGTGCTGGCCAGGAGCTCCCCTGACTGGTCCTGAGGTCGGAGCTCTTCAAAATGACCCCCAAAGGACCCAAAAGGTAGGTCGGCGCCCCATCCTCAGATCGCGATCCCAGCGGGCGCCGCCATCTTGGACATGCGCAATCATATTTAGATCCCCCACACTTGGAAAAGCCATAGTGCATAATGACAAGCGAGGTGTAAGTTTCTTTTCTTGCCATCACTATCACAGAACAAGTCATGAGCAATCAATTTCCTCTCCCAGAGATCACTTGCAAAAACAAAGGACTGTTCAAACTAAATGGGCATGGAGTGAATAGTGTAATGGGAATCTATGTCTAGGCCAATTTATTTACATTTCATACATGTACACCATCCTATAACACAGATGCAAATGAATCTCCCTTCCTACCTACCTTATTTCCAGTGGAATTGGATTAAATCTTACTAATGGATCAACCTTAGTAACCTCCAGGATACATAGAATAGGCTTTCACATGTGCTTAATGTTTGATAATAAAAAAAAATAATCAACTACAGGGAAATGGAAAGACAATGTTATGGGGGGGGGAGTTGGTTTTTTGGTCAATGCGGACTCCTGATGACTACCCCGACTAGTTGTCACATTTTTCTTGGGAAGATTGCTATATATTCCAAAAGGCAGGAACCATACAGGAAAATATGTACTTCCTAGGTTCCACTCATTACCATTGTTTAGTAGATGGGATACAAAGGACGCTTGTTTTGTCAGATATTATGGAACAGTCACTCATTTGGGAGAGCCTGGACTCGGATATCAACATTTTTCTACCACAAATTACTGTACAGTATTATTACGTTTACAAATATGTCATTTTTTATCCCAAGATAGTAAACATTCTGCATACTCCAGCCTTCTATTTCCCCATAATAGCCCTGAGAGATGAGTTGGACTGAAAAGTGACTGGCTAAAAGTCATCCAGCTTTCATGCCTAAGGGAGGCCTAGAACTCAAGTCTCTTGGTTTCTGGGCCAGCACTTCAACCACTACACTAAACCGGCTTTCTCTATAATATAGATGATACGCACATATTTTTGGGAGAGGAGAACGATACTGATAAAATTCTTAACTCTTTGAGCAATTCCTATAGACTTTTGCCCACACCCATTTACATAAAATAAACATGTAAAATTAAAACATGTCTAACATAATTTATTCTCTGCTAAATATTTTATTTTATTTGACAGAAAAATATAAGCCAAAAGATCCACACAATGAACCAAAAAAATACATAAAATATTAATTTCCTAAGCAATTAAATTGGAGATGGAAATTTGCCTGCAAAAAATTTGCACATGCCTTGAATTAGTGTTGATTGGACAAAGTCTCTTGTTCTTCAGTAATAACTACCCTTTTTTCCACATGCCTATAGAGAAAAAAGTTAACCTCTTAAGGGTAGTTATAGAGAAGGTTGGTAGTAAGCCAGAAGCAGGTTTAGAGAAAGGATTTAAAGTAAATCTGCTCTCATTGAAAGGAGAAAGAGAAGGATAGGCAAAAAAGGGTAGGAGGCTAAGGTGAGGGTACTGGGAAGATTGAAGGACAAGTCAGCCAGTGACATATACAGCACTGGGACATCAATGACAGCTGAAGGGATAAAAGGGAAGAGTGCTGGGAAAACGGGAAGTGAGCAAGCAAACACTCCGCCTGTGTGGAGAAGCAGGAGAGCAGAAAGCAACACATTCCAATCTAACTGCATCCATTTGCATTTCTACCAAAACACATGTGAGACGATTCAGCAGAACTTCCAGAGGAAAATACAGAATGCACAATCTTCAACCATTCTGCTCCCAGACATTACGAGATATGGAAGGCAACATATTCAACAACCCGCAAATCTGACTTTTTTAAACATGATGTTGAATCAATTGGTTTACATTTGAAATGTGTTGTATACAAACATTTCAGAAGATTGAGAGAGAAGGCTGAAGGTTCAAGAATCAGTTTGTACCCATGATTTCGGAACAGCAGTATAAAGTAATTATACGCTTGCACAACAGCAAATCAAGCTGCTTCCAGCACAGAATCTGACCACCCTGGACAATTACAGTTCTATCCTGTCTTTTTTTTAAAAAAAGAGCTCTAGTTAGTAGAACTGAAAGGAAGATCTCACAGTGATATTTTGGGCAAGACAACCCAGGGCGTACACCCACTTGAAAGGGGGTGGGGGTGGGGGAAATCACAGCTTCTGTTTCCCATTCAAAAAATGAGTTAATCAGCTGACGTTGGCTCAATGCTGTTGATGGTATCTTCCATCACATAAAAAACCAGCAAATCAGCTAGAGAGCACTGGAATGGCTGTAAGAGCATCCATCATTCTTTCCTCTATTACTGTACTGCAGCTCCATGCTACGTGCCATTTGAGGTAGCTATTTCACTCTGTGTAATCTAGTGACTGTTCTTTTTATGGCTGAAACAATTTAATTACAATATTCTTAACATTCAATCTCTGAACTTGATAGTTGATAGGTTAGGGGTCATTGGTTGGTTTAGATAAGGATGGTTTCTGAATGCCCTTAGGTAGCATATTGAAGAGGCTGTTCTTCATCTATCCCTGAAAAAAAAGGTGTCCATATGCAAATGTCTTCACATGGACCATTTGAAGACTAGCCTATTATAGGATGAGACATCCATTATAGTGTTTGGAGATAGGTTTAACAGGCACCTGCTTTTTTTGCAGAGAGGCAGACTGATCCCCCTGTTTAGACAATGAGGATGTGAGATTATTCTGACTAGGAGGATCATGATTTAAATTAGTTTGGAAATCAGCATTTGGAGTATGACGGGCAATGGACTTTGACAAAACACTAGAAGTACTGGTGGCCTCAGAAGAAGCATAGGCATGGTGGCAAGGTAAGCTGGTGGTAGAATCTAGAGGAGGAGAAAAGGAGTCCGCCTTTTTTGTACTCGAGGCAATTCTAGTCTCGCTTGCCTGTGTGTTCTGGCTCTGATGTGTGAAAGCATAAGTCTCAGAAGATAGGGCACTGGAATTAGTGGTGATCCTGCTGGAAGCATATGCAAACTGGTGGTGTGAACTGGTGGTGGATTCTGGCGACAAAGAAGTGGGGCTTGTTGTTTCTGTGTTTGAGATTACAGTAGCAGATGTCCTGGCATACTCTCTTTGCTGAGCGGAAACCTGAGTCTCAGAAAACAAAGGACTGGAATTACTGGTGCTCTTAGCAGAATCATAGGCAATTTGATCATATGAGTTGGCAGTAAAGTCTAACGGAGAAGAAGCTGGATTTACTGCCCTTCTCCTTGAGGATACAGATGACGAAGCCCTGGAATTATTGGCGATCACAGATGAAGTGTGAAAGGCTCCACTGACAGAACAAGCAATGAATGATTCTGTGGTCGAGTTGGTTTCAATAGAATTCGCATAAGTAGGTTTTCTCTGATAAATGGCTGCAGGAGACATGCTATCCAAAGAGGCTTTATCTGCTAAAGAAACAGAAATAGATTGGAGATCATCTGGTCTTGTATGGGTAGGCTGTTGTAATTGGTGATCTGGTTGGGATCTGGATGGAAAGCAGCTTGCAGAATTTCTAGACAATGAAGAAACAGAATTCATCTTTGCAGAGGAGTCAGGACTCGAGAAATGCTGGGAAGCTCTGGATTGTATCTGTATTTCAGAAAAAGAATCAAATTCTGCAACAGCACAATTATAATCCCTTTGTTCTGTATTTCGGCTAGGAGGTGGTGGTTGCACTGGAAGCATAGGCTGAATACTATCGAAGCTCTGTGATGTACTCCTTGGAGAGTAAATTTCAGAAGGTTTTACTAAAACTGGGGGAACTGATGGCGAGTCAACTGATGAAACAGAAATATTTGAGTTAGTGGAAGGTGTAAATCTGGATTTAAGAATACCTGGCTGCAAATTCTCACCACATACTGTGCATTGAGAATGTGTAGGTAAAGCTGCAGAGCAATCTGGAATGAAGGGGATCTCTCTTAGCTTGGCACCAAGACCATTCAAATGAGATGTGTTCGTTTGCATAATTTTAATGGAACCTGGGATACTCTGGGTGTGAAGTTCAGTGAATGGCTTATTCCCCTTATTTTCTAGTGCTCTGATGGACTGATAATATTGCAAGAAGGAATGATGGGGCCTAGGTATAGGAATCATGGAAGCCCTGGGAGCAGCAGGCACCAGCAAAGACTGTGGAACTATCAGTGATTCATCCGTAGGCAAAGAACAACCAGAGGGCACTGGAATGTCTTCTATTTTTGACAGTTGATCCGAAAAGCCTGGCAAACTTGTTCTGGCCTTCTCTTGCTCTTGGCATGTGGCCAGAAGCATACTTGGGGATAGGTCCTTAGAGATGCAGCAGTCCTTGCTTCCTGGATTTTCAGGGGAGTCTAAAGGTGATGTCCAAACAGAATGAGAATCAAAGCTTTGTACAGAAGGTTCAGTCCCAGGTACAGGATGGACCAATTCAAGGCTAGATACCACTGCAACATTCTCAACTTTGGAAGAGACAGGCTGACCTGGGGAGAAACAAAACATAAATTTATCTGAAAGGTGCGTAGATAAAAGTAGTGGGTACTACTTATAGGATCTTGGCCAATAACTTCAGGCGTCATACTCACCTGGGAAAGAGGCTGTAAAAAAATGTAACTTGTGATAAAACAGAGAGAATTTTGTCAGATCTCTGAGCATTTAATAATTATGGTCATCTTTGCATTGCTTTTGTTGGCTCTTTACTGGCCTTCACATTGTCTATAACAAAACCCAACATATTAAGGTAAGATAGATTCATCACATATATAGATGTATGGGCTGGGTGGAGGAAAACTTCAGGAACTTTTCTTTTTTTAAAAAAAAATGTCATGTGCCTGATTTTAGGGTTTGCAAAATAAACTCACGTTTCCATTGCAAGATGTCAGGAAGCTGCTAGTGGTTTTCAGCAATGATGGTCCATAGGAGTTCTGAGGGCTCAATTACCATATACTGATTTTGCCTTAAAATCAGTTAAATAAGCATTCGAATGAGGGGAAAAGTTCTACAGTCTTGCATTTTCCTTTTTGCCTCACCTTCCTAGATCCAAACACCAAAACATAGAACACTGTCTATGTTCTTGTATTCCACCCCCCAACCAACCAATCTCTATTCTCCCAAATTCTTTGTCCTTAGCTGTGTCTTTCCTTTACAGAAGAGTGGGGATACTTCCCTGAAATGGTGGTGGTACCAACTTCAGTCTAAAAATAGACAACACAGGCAGAAGCAACCACCTTATTTAATTCTTCTTATTCTACTTGTTTAAGATGTGTACTCCTTGTGTCTGATGAACATGAAGTGTTCTTGCTTGTGAAGCATTTCATACATTTGCAGTTGGAATAAAAGCTCTAATTTTGTTTTAATTTGGTCATGTGGTTTGTGGAAAAGTGTGGAAGGAAAATCTTGGGCAGTCAAGCTATTTTTCTGTTTCAAAAACACAATGCAGAAGAAATGTCAAATTAGGAAACTAAGGAAATTCTGTAATAGCCATACCTGGTTTTGCAGGTGACACATCAGGGGATACGGGCATCAGCAATGCCTGAACTCCATGACCCTTCAGATAAACAATGTCTGGCATTTCGAGGAGACGTTGCTTTGTAGAAGCAGCATTTCCCACCGGAAAATGTTGTTTAAAGGTAGCACTATAGGCAATTCGGAACTGGAATAGAGACATCCCATTTGGATGCCTGGCCAGAATCAGGGCTACCTGTTGCTTCAGTTCATCCTGAACAGTTGAGGGTTGGAATGTGGCCACCTGTGAATTGCCGGCTGTCTGTTTGGTGACTGATTTTGCACTGGGCTGGCGTGGGTTTGGCTGCTGTGACTGAACAACAGAAGAAAAAAGAGAGGAACTCTTGGCTTTGACTGATAAAGTATTGTGGGGCTCATGAAATGAAGGTAAGTTTGAGGACATGGTAGATGGACCAGACTGGTTGGTGTGAAACAAGTTGTTTACTTCAGGGGGGACAACAGCAACTGAAGCAGATGCGTTTTGATACTGAGAGCCATTTGCAAACAGTTCACTGATGGCCGAAGCAGGTTCAGAGATTTCTTCTAAATCTAGGAAAGAAACAGTGCACCATTATTGCAGAGACAACAGAAGGGGGACATGTAGCATATTAGTACATCTATTATTTTAATTCTCTTAAGAGGGACAACAAGAGACAACGAGCTACTTTTCCAAAAAAGCTATAGCAAGATAGTTAACAGCAACTTGAGATCAAGACAACCCAAACATGTTCTACAGAATCATTTCTGTAAGGGATTAAACTGTAAGCTTCAGAATTACAGTGCAGATGGTTCTCGAATTATGCCAGTAATGGAGTCATTACATGACTGCAATGCAAGTCATGATGGTCATTAAGCAAGGTGCCCACATAATTTCCTTGCTTAATGATTTACATTCTGCCCTCCCAAATGTGATTGTTAAGCGGCATATAAGGTGCCTCACAGGTAAGGGAGGCCTAGTGCAGGCTCTGGCTTGCCTGCGCTGGGTCTTCCAAGGCCTCCCACATTTCAAGGCACCACATGCTCTGTTCCTGACTTTCAAGGTCCCTGCAGACCTTGGGCCTGCTTGCCATCCAGCCACTCAGGAGAAAGTCAGGTGGCTGCAGAGTCTACTGGTACGTGGGAACTTGCTGCAGCTTGCAGACCTTGGGCCTGACACACATACCCGCCCCCAAGATGCTTGCAGGACTCAACCAATGCAAGGCTCAACTTTCATACAGAAGCTTCCTTGTGCCAATATGCAAGCAGGTGCTATTTTCACAATCCTTTGGAAGTCTGTTTTTTTAAAGAGGCTCCATTTTTAAGAAGGCCTGTTTTAAGGATGGAACCATCTTTGAAACAGAACCTCCTTAAAAATGGAGGCTTCCAGAGGATTGCGAGAATAACACCTGCTTGCAGAATGGCAGGTAGTCTATAAGAAAACTGAGCCTTGCATCTACTTGGCACCTCCATCAGAAGCTGTAAAAAAGAGAAAAGTAAGTTGGATACTGCTGGCTTTTGGAACTGACTGAGGAGCAGACCAAGTCCTGCAAGTCCCTGAAGGCAAGACCAGAGCCTGCAGGGACCCATGTGGGGAGGGAAACCAGACCCAAGACCCCAAGGACTCTGAGGGGCAGAATGGATGCAGGAAATAGGTGAAGGGCAATGCAGTATTCCCCCACTGGTCATTAAGGGCAAATGTCCATTACTTTGAAACCAGATTGTAAGTAGCTCTGAGTGGGTCTGTTGTAATTTCAAACAGTTACTAAAGGTTACATGTAGAAATGGAGATCACTACTTTACTTCTCATGGTGATAACATATAAAATAGAAGGTAGAATTCATTACACAGGCAGGTTGAATGTGCTTTTAATGATCAATCTAAACTTTTACATTGGGCCTCAAAATTGTAGTGAGTGATTGCAAAATATGTAGGATCCACTTAAGCCAAATTACTGAAAAATCAATTTTTTAAAAAAATCAAATGCCCCCCTCCTAAGAAAGGAGATAACAAATAAATTGTTAAGTGGAAATAATTTGAACCAAAAGGAAAGGAGGAGGGAGTTATGAATCCCCTCTCTTTATTCAATTTAATTTCCTAACATCTCCAACCATGATGGTTATAGTTATTCTTAACGGAGGCTACAATTCAACAATACCTCAAGAGAACATGGTTCACTATTATTTAGATTAAGGGCAGGCGACCTGGCATTTCATGGTTATTTGGGGCTATGCAAGTAGTCCGCAACATTTAACCACAGCTGGAGCCAGAATTTCCACCATAACTCACTGAAGAGACAAGGCCTAATAATTGTCATAGCAATTGTTAAGCAAATCACTGCAGCTGTAAAACGAACCACATGATCACTGAGTAAATCTAGCTTCCCAATGGTGGTTTTTGGGTTGGAAACTGGAAAAAAAATGCAAATGGTGATCATGTTCCTGCAGGATACTGCAGCCAGTAGTAAATGCGAGCCAATTGCCAAGTGCTTGAACTGCAATCATGTGACTGAGGGGGTGGCACTATGGTCACAAGTATGAGTACAGTTCATAAATCAGAATTTCCTAAGCCACTGTAACTTCAAAGTCATTAAAGAAATAACTGTAAAACGAGGTTTGCCTGTAACCTACATTACTACCCCTCCAGCTCCAATGCATAAAACCAGCCTGCAGAAGATCTTAAAATCAAGACCCACTTTCACAATGTAGGATATGAAAACGGCTCTGCCTAAACTTGGACAATTTAGACCATAGTGAGATGAAGCAGCTTTGGATTTTAACTTCGCCACAATAAATTTAAATTCAAACAAGGAAACACATGTAAGCCACTAAAATGTTTGCATTTGGAGCCTTTTGAAAAATGTATGTTCTATTTCTTCATTGTTTGCCTTCTTTCTATTCCCTCCTCCTTTCTATAGATTAACTGAAATTGTGCAAAAGTCTAACTAATCCCTCTCCATTCTAATATCCACAAGAAAAAGCTGTTTTTCTAGCTTAGCAAATATGAAGACTACACGGCAGTATCCTCTTATTGTTAATGAGTAAACAACAACTCTTGCACTTTGACCAGAGACTTATTAATAACAGTTAAGTTGAAAAACTTTCTCATTACAAAAAAAATTCTATATAGAATATATACGATTAAATTTTGAGTGTATGTCCACTCCAAATACTAAACTTTTGTTTACATTTGATATAACATAGACCAGTGAGTAACTTAAGGCCCATTATTGAATTTCAAGTCCAGCAAGGGATGCTGAAGACTATATTCCAACAATATCTTTAAGGGTGTTTTACCATTCCAGGATCAGGATAAATGTGTATCACCAATGGCAGAATTTGCAATTGTTATTGGGATTTAATAACACATTTCAACTTTTCAGTGAATCCTAAAGCTCAGAAAATCCATGCCATGGAGTCACATCAATTTTGTACACATTTTTCCCAACACCACCTGTATTTTTCTATACAACTTTTATGAAAGTCTTCCATTTTTTAGGCAACTACTATACTTCCCTCATAAAATTCTCCCTAACAAAAGATTGCCCTAATTTATCAGGAATGATTTGTCGGTCACTATAGCTATAACATTTTGATGTAATAAAAAACTGTAATAGCTTTCTTTTACCACTGGATGGAGAGGGAAAAAAGTGAGAAGAAGGAAAGAGATTATTTATTGGATTTTACAGATGGTCCTCAATTTACAATCACAATTCAGCTACTAAGCAACGTGGTCATTAAATCAGTCATTATGAGACCAGTTGTCGACATGTGCCCAAATTTTGATCACATAACTGAGAAGGTAGTATGACTATTAAAGCTTCAGGGATGAGCTGTAGGTCACTTTTTTCAGCACGAGTTGAACTTAAAATTGTGATTAAAATAATGGTCATAAATTAAGGACCACTTGCAATTTATTCCTTGCTTTTATGTTTTTAAAACTCACTTTGGCATACATAAGGTTACCTACTTATTCCATGACAACATTGTGAGCTAGCTTGGACGAGAGAAAGTGATTGGCCAATTTCCATACTTGAAGGAAGATTACAGTTTAGACTTAGCCCAGCACATTTAATAGGCCAAACTTTTTTCTTATTTTAGTTCACTCCGAATCCAAATACTCTATATGTACATGCAAGACTCATCCCTCACATTATGCATGGCAATAACCATTACCCAAAGTGATGGATCTATCCAAGCGAGGCATTACCTGAGTGAGGTACAATGACAACAGTATTAAGCCTGATAACTTGGTACTTCAACGTCAGTTGAGGCATCTTTTGCTCCAAAAATTCCACTGTGTCTTTGTAGCCCTGCGCAATGCTGAACTTCTCGATATCAAGCCCTTCATTTGTCAGCAAGAAATCTTGCAATTTCCAAATTCTCAAGCCCTTCTTATAATTGCTTAAGAGGTCAGTGACTAAAGCCATGACATCGCTCAATACTGTTGAAAAGAAGTGAAAATATATAGGCAAGCATAAAGTTCAGAAAAGCCATGGAGAACTAATTACCGTATTTTTCAGAGTATGACACACTTTTCCCCCCTAAGAGAGGCTCAAAATTTGGGTGTGTCTTATACTCCAAAGGTAGCCCCGCCCACCCAGTGGCCCCCACCCTTCAGACCTATTGTATTGTATTGAGCATCACAGTTCCAGTTTATGAGATGTCTGAAGTGCTGACTCTCTACTGGACCTTACAAGAAAGCCAGGCTTTCAATGCCTATGGCTATAGGTAGGAAGATGGGGGCATCTTGGGAGTGGAGCCTTCGGTGCCAAGTCCCTCTTCTGCCCCCATGAAAATCATCCCCCACCCCACACCAGTTAAATGTGCATAGGCTGCTCGTTATCAAAATCCAGTGGCAGTCAGGAGGCTGCTGATCCCTGCCATCTGGAACTTCCCAAAAATACGAGGCGGAATGGTCAGTGGCAATCCCTGCGGCCTGGAACAGCTGATTGGGGATATTCCGGGAGGCCGATCCACCCGCCAATCAGCTCCTCATGCTGAATCAGGCTGCAATAAGGTGCTGAAACTGACAAGGCTGTTTGCTGCAAGGATGCTAGCCAGATGAATACGGATGGATGCTGGTAGGCAGAGGCAAAATATTTTCCCCTTTTTTTCCTCCCCCAAAACTAAGGTGCATCTTATACTCCGAAAAATACGGTAATACATCAAATCAATCCATGAATACAATATCATATATTCACACATTAAAGAATTACTTATGAATCCTGTCTTAATCAATAATTATATGCATCTGTTTGCTTGTGCTGAACTTAAATTCAACAGGCCATGAAATACTTTTCTGAAAAGTGCAAAACAAGGTATTATGGCCAAGAATACCAAAGCAAATTAGATTCAAATCAACAACCTGTAAAAACCAACTTACTAGGCCTGTCATTAGATGCACATACTATATTAAGTGATAGTGCGAATTGCTTGGTTTTAGCTCAGCATAATAAGACACAATATGATGTGTGAACTAGTTCATCAAGCACATTTGAAGACAATGGTTAAAACAACCTATATAAACACACATAAACCATAATCAAAATAGCTGATGCTTGAAAGTGAATGAATCCCATTTCTATATCCATCTCTACAGAGAACTAAAAAAGAATAGCATCACTTATTTGTTCAGAACAGTTTATTTATTCTGTGGTTTATCATGCCTGGTTTCTTGTTTTAGCACTGTTTGTACCTGGGCAGATTGTTCTACATTTCAGGGGAATAAGCAGTAAGGAAAAAATTCAAGCAATTTCTTTTACAAAGAATTCATGATGTATAAATTTTCTAATTTGTCTTTTTTCCAAGAGGTTCAAAAGTTATTTTTAAAATATATCAATCCTTTAATTTTACAAGTTTGCCAGCTTCCAGAAAAGGATACCAAGGAATTATAATCTAATTTCTAATCTTTATTAAAATCACTTTTAATCTACTTATTTCCATTCTGGTATCCTCCAATAGGGTTCGATCCCTATCATGGATCTTATCATGCATTATCAACAGTAATATTAGAATTTTAGATTAATAAACTGATGGATAATAGATTGTGGAAGACTGTTTGAATCAATGTTGATCTTCCCATTTTCAAACAGGACTGCAGAGATATCCAGCTTCATGATTTTCTCATAAACTGAATTATCTTGGAATATTCATATACCAATAACCACATCCAAACTATAAAGAAAAAGTGTGCTCAGCAAAACTGCATCACATGGATCTAAGTATAGCAAAAAAATAAATAAACAAACCAATAAACCACTGGGCTAAGCAGCAGCTTCACAATGTTACAAAAAATTGTTCTGAATGAAGTACCGTATTTTTCAGAGTATTTTTCCCCTCTAAAAGAGGCTGAGTATTTTTCCCCCCTAGGAGAGGCTGAAAATTTGGGTGTCTTATACTCTGCATGTAGCTTTTTTGAAGCTTTTTTTCAGCTCTAACAAGGCGCTAACGAGGCACTAGCAAGTGATCTCCATGCTTTGCTCCGACTCTCAGCTGTTCTTTAGAAGCTTTTTTTTTCAGCCCTAACTAGGCACTAGCCGAGTGAAGCAATCTCCCTGTGCTTTGCCTGCTTTTCTCATTCAGCTTCCTCTCAGCTGTGTCTTAGAAGTTGTTTTTTTATCCCCAAGCAGGGGATAAAAAACCAGCAAACTAATGTGCTGAAGTTGACCAGACTAAGGACACTGGCCAGATGAATAGGTAGGCAGATTATTTTCCCCCTATTTTCTTCCCCAAAAATTAAGATGCGTTTTATACTCCAGTGTGTCTTATACTCTGAAAAATATGGTAGTTAAGATCAATTTTAAAAGAAGATTAAGCAGATTCATGAAGCGCCACCTATCAAGAGCTGCACACGAAAATGGCAATTTGTAGGTTCTACAATGGGAAAGAACTCATAATTGCTGTGGAACATCAGCAAGCGAAATCTATTAGACCTTGTATTCTATATATGGAATAATTAGGTCCATTGATTTTAATGTAATAAAAGAAAATGGTGAACTATGGCTGATAGTGGTAATGGCTATTGATTTGGTTTAAAATTGTGATACAGCTGAAGATGGTGATGGCTGCTTGTATGATTCAGCAACAACTCCCAGAAATCTCTCTGAAATATGCTAGCAGAGAATTCTGAATTTTTTACTTCTAATGCATCTTAAGATACCAGAATAAAATAAGCTGTTCTACTCTACTTGGAGGAAAAAAACAGATGAAGATTTATATGAGCCTATTCTACCGTATAAACATCAAGTTCTACACAAACTTTCTTTTAAGGAAAATCATATTATAAGAAAGAATATGCACATGACTGAACTGAGAGCTACCATATGCAGTAACAATTATAGCAGATGCAGAAAAAGATGAAGAATCTATTTGATTGTAAGAGGGCTTCTCATAATGGTATTAAGGGTCTGTTTTCACAGAAATCCTGATTTTTCTAAGCCTGGTTCCCATTGTTCCTAAAATTTCGGAATCAGATATAAACTTACCAGGCCCCTTTTCAGATTCATCTTGTTTTGAATAGTTTGATGGGCAGCTAGACTGATATGAATCAGGAGAGGAAGAATAGCCGGAATGATATAAAGTGCAGTTGAGGGGAACTGGAATATTAGAAACGTAAAGGGGAAAAGTGAGAACACTCACAAGTCAAAGTAACAAATCTGGCAACAACAACAACAACAACAAAAGCCCTCCAACTCAACTACACTGGAAAACGTGTGTGTGTTGTGTGTGTGTGTGTGTGTGTGTGTGTGTTCTATTTCTTCACTGCTTGCTTCTTTGTAATTTTTGCCCTAAAAATGTCAGCTAAAACTGTACAAAAGTCAGATAGATCCCTTACCCTTCCAATGTCCACAAGAAAAAGCTGTTTTTCTTGCTGAACAAATACAGATTACAAAATGATAGTATGCCCTCTTATTGTTAATGAGCAAACAATCACTTTTGCACTTTGACCACCTTATTAATAAGTTAGGTAAAAAAACATTCCTGTTACAAACCTAAAGTAATGCTATAAATAGTGTATGTTTCACCATAGTGAATTTTACAATTGATATAACATAGATCAATGAGTTATGCAGTAAATACATTATTGTATTTAAAGTCCCAGCAAATGATGGAGACTATACTCTTAACAATATCTCAAAAAGCCACAAGTGTTTTACCATTCCAGAGGCAGGACACCAAATGCCTCTAGGTCTGTTGTTATGATTCTTTGAGCACTCTTGATTCCTGGTTGACTATATGGAAAAGCCCATGCTGTCGCTTGGCAACATTTCAAAAGGGGCTTGCCAAAATTTGGTTTCTAGGACTGAGAGAAAGTGACTGGCCCAAACTCACATAACTGGCTTTCATGCCTAAATGTGGTGAAGAACTATAATCCTACACTTGTGCCTTTAACTGCTACACTAAATGGCTCCCTTCTACTAGAATTAATATTCCATTATAAGCTACCTCCCAAAGACTCAGAAAAAGCAACATTATCTTGCAGCCCCCAGAAAACTCTGCAGGCTTCAGGCAGATTCTCAAGCTACAGTAATATGATTTTGTAAATTGCCTTGAAAATTGGTTGAAATTGGCTATCAATACTATTTCCAAAGAGATTAATTAGGGATAAGTATGCAGGGCCCTATCTTTCTTTATTTGTCTGTATTAGGAGGAAAAATACTAGGGAACCTTATATGCTGCAAAGTGCCAAATACAACCCTGTCTTTCTTAATGGAATTATTTCAAAACATTCATTATTAAAAATCATACACAAACTTTCTTAGGAAATAAAAAAATTGGGCGCAGTACTTTATGAGCTGCAGAAGCAACAAAACCAATAAATTAGACTGGGAATTATCAAGACCATGCTAAGTGGGAAGAGAATAGAGAACTATCTCCCCAGTTTGCCCTTCTTCATGGATCACTTTTCAATGGACAAAACTGCTAGGGCAGAATTTTGCCACTTTCATGGCAGGTTCTCAAAATTCCAAACTGGTTCAAAAAAGGTTCTTTCCACCTGGCTTAGCATAGTTTTTGCTGAAAACCATCTCTACCTTCCTTATATTGTATGGAGAATCAGATTAAAGGTTTACCTGGTGCAGAGTTTAGTGGGTCAACTGGTCCTATGGATTTCAGAAAAGGAATTGGCACATCTAACAAAGAAAGGAAAAAGATAACATCATAACATGTTGGGAGAGGAGAAATTGAACCAATCAGGTAGTGATCTTTATTATTGTAAAGATCTCATTATTATTACTAATATTTTAATATTATTACTTATAGTACAGTGGAAACAGTTTAAAAGTTTACCTGGAGCAGAGTTTAGTGGGTCAGCTGTTCCTGTGGATTCCAGAAGAGGAACTGGAGCATTTAAAAAACAAGTAAAGTTAACATCGGAATGTATTGGAGGAGAAATTTAAGCAATTAAATACTTATTGTTGTATAGATCTAAAAGCTAGTCTTTTTTAAAGAACAATATGGAAAATTAACATGCTAACAATTACAGGCTTACTCTCATTAGCAGAATATAATCCAGGAATGTACTTTCACGCAGAAAGGTTGTAGATAGCTATTAAAAAAAGTATAAGCACACACTAGTGGCAATATTTTCCAAAACTTATTTACATCCAGTGCAGAGATATAACAAAACAAGGGGATGGAAATGCAGGAGATGGTTGGCAGATAGGATGAGATGCATAATATGTTGGGCCATTTGCTTATTTTAACAAAAGAAACCTCACTCCATCTTCACAAACTCAGTAGACTGAAAGACCACTTCCTCCATCCTTCTCAATTATTATTTCCTCCAGATAATGTGTACCACCAATGGCAGAATTTCCAATCATTAAACAGGTAAAGGTTTCCCCAGTCATGTCCAACTTTAGGGGCAGTGCTCATCACTGTTTCTTAGCCGAGGGAGCCTGCATGTGGCCAGCATGGCAATACACCAAGGCACACAATACACTGTTACCTTCCCACCTATGTGATATCTATCTCGCTGGCATTTGCATGGTTTCAAACTGCTAGATTGGCAGGAGTTGGAGCAAATAACTGGAGCTCATCCAGTCACATAGCACTCAGGTTTTAAACCCGGGCTGTCATATAACCTCAGCATCTTTAATGGCTGAGCCATCATGCCCCATTTTCTAATCATTATGGGAATGTAATAACACATTCTAAATAATTCAGTGAATCCCATTGTCCAGAAGATCCATGCTCTAATGGCCCATTGCATATTTCCCAACACTTTATTTTTCTATACAATGTTCATGAAAATTTTTCGTTTTCTAAGGGGACATTATGACCCTATAAAATTCTCCCTAACAAAAGTTAGCCCTAAATCATGGGCCTTTTCCAAATTTGTGCAACTTTCCCCAATGCACAGTTGCTAACAAGATTAATAAATGGCAGGCAATTCCCTTCAGGGATGACTTGTCCGGTCACTGTAGCTATAACTTTTTGATGTGATAGAAAACTGATAGCTTTGTTTTACCAGTGGATGGAGAGGGGAGAAAAGTGGGAAGCAGGGAAGAGATTATTTCTTGGATTTTACAATTTCAATTTACAACCACAACCACAACCAGAACCCAGTCACGAAGCGATGTGCTTGTTAAATGAGACATTATATGACCAGACCTAATTTTGCAATATTTTTTTCCATAATTCTTAAGCGAATCATGGCAGGTGTTAAACAAATTATAGTAATACTCAATCAGATGATTGTCAAGTACATCCACAGCTTCCTTCATTGGCTTAGCTTGTCAGAAGCCATTCAGAAAGGTTGCAAATCGTCATTATGTGACTGCAGGATGCTGCAACCATCACAAATGCAAGGCAGTTGTGCCTAAATTATGATCACACAACCAAGGTAGTATAATGGTTGTAACTTCAAGGATCAGTTGTATCATTTTTTTCAGCACTAGTTGAACTTTAAACTGTGATTAAAACAGGGGTGAAATGCTGCCGGTTCGGACCAGATTGCCCGATCTGGTAGTGATAGTGGCAGGTGGTTCGGAAAACCGGTAGCAAAAATCCCTGTACCACCCCCCACCCCATGCCCAGCTGAGCCATGTGATCATCAGAGGCTTTTTTTTTTTTTTACTTTTAGAAGTATGTTTTCTATAACCTCTTCGGCTGAAAAAATGCTTTTAAAAGTTAAAAAAAAAAGCCTCTGATGATCGCGCGACTCAGCTGGTATCATCAGAACCTTTTAAAAGCACTTTTTCTACAACCTCTTCAGCCAAAGAGGTTGTTAAAAAAATGCTTTAAAAGCTCTGACGATCCCAGCTGAGTTGCTTGATTGTCAGAGGCTTTTAAAAGAATTTTTTACAACCTCTTCAGCCAAAGAGGTTGTAGAAAAAATGCTTTTAAAAAGAAAAAAAAAGCCTGTGACGATCAGGCAACTCAGCTGGGAAAAAATGCTTTTAAAAGTAAAAAAAAAAAAAAAAAAGTTGGCCACGCCCACCCAGTCACAGTACCCTTCCCCCAAGCCACACCCACAGAACCGGAAGTAACACATTTTACATTTCACCACTGGATTAAAAGAATGGTCGTAAATTAAGAACCACTTAGTTTTATACCTTGTTTTATTTTTTACAACTAATGTTGACACGTTACTTATTTGCTCCATAATTTAGAGGTAGCTTGGAGTCAGAGAAAGTGACTGGCCAGTTTCCATACTTAAAGGAAGATTACAGGTTAGATTGTAGCCAAGCATCTTTACTAGACCAATTTTTTTTTCTTTTTGCAGCCCATTCCAAATACTCTAGGTGTGTTGTACATGCAAGACTAACACCCCTCAAACACACATTATAGATACCAATAACCTAGGAGTGATGGATCTATTTAGGCTAGACATTACCTGAATGAGGTTCAATGACAACGCTATTAAGCCTGTTCGCTCTGTAGCTCAAAATCAATTGAGGCAACTTTTGCTCCAAAAATTCCAATGAGTCTTTGTGTCCCAAGGAAAAGCTGAACTTCTCAAGATCAATCCCTTCTTCTGTCAGCAACAAGTCTTGCAATTTCTTAACTCTCAGGCCCGACATATACCTGCTTAAGAGGGCAGTGATTGATGCCATGACGTTACTTAGTACTGTTGAAAAGGAGAGAAAATGTATACAGAGACATGAAGCTCAGAAAACCATGAAAATAAGTTAATAAATCCAACAATTCAAGACTACCACAATGGCTATATTTACACATAACAAAAACAATTATGAATCCCATCTTAATCAATAATTATATGCATGTGTTTTCTTGTGCTGAACTTTAACATTGATTCAACTAAACAGGCCACAAAATACTTTTCTGAAAAGTGCAAAGTAAGATATTATGGCCAAGAATATCAAAGTAAATTAGATTCAAATCAACAACTCTAACTTAAAGCCAACTTACCAGGCCTCTGATTAGATGTACATACTATATATTAAGCCATAGTGTGATTTGCTTGGTTTTAGTTTCAGTATAATAAGGCATAATATGATGTGTGAGCTAGTTTAATGAAGCATCTTTGAAGACAATGGTTAAAACAGCCCATATAAACACACATTAACCCTAGTCAATGGCTCAGTGCTTGAAAGGGAAGGAATCCCGTTTTTCTATCTCTACTTGTACAAAGAGAGAACTAAAGAAAAGCAACATCACTTATTTGTTCAGAACAGCATATTTATTCTATGGTTTATCATGATTTATTTCTTGTTTTAGCACTGTTTGTACCTGGGTAGAATATTGTACATTTCGGGGGGGAATAAGCAGTAAAGAAAAAGGCAAATTCTTTTACAAAGAATTCATGATGTATAAATTTTCTAATTTATCTTTTTCCCAATATGTTCAAAAGTTATTTTTTAAATATATCAATCCTTTAATTTTACAAGTACAGTATATCAATTTCCAGAAAAGGATACAAAGCACTCTAATTTCTAAGCTTTCTTAAGAACACTTTTAATCTATTCCCATGCTGGTACCCCCAAGTAGGGTTTCATCCCTATCATGGATTCTATCCTGGATTATCAATATTAATATTACAATTTTTAGATTAATGAATCATTGGATAGTAGATTGGTGAAGGATGTTGGAATCAAATTTGATCTTTCCATTTTCAAGCAGAGTTGCACAGGTATCCTATCTTCATTATTTCATCATAAACTGAATTATCATGGAATATTCATGTATAATGAATCACATCCAAACTATATAGAAAAAGCAACACTGCATCACTGATGTAGGTACAGAAGAAAAAAAAACCCCTGGGCTGAGAACTTCAAAATGTCACTATATTTTTTTTCTGAATGGAACAGTTTAAAATAACATTAGGCATATTCATGAAGGGTTGTGTATCAAGAGCTGTACACCAGGGGTGGGTTCCACTTACCTTTACTACCAGTTCGCAACAGGAGCATGCATGCATGCTCGCTTCGCTCATGCTTCTGTGCATGTGCTTCTGCACATGCGCAGATATTCCAGGATGATATCCAGGCATGTGGGTGGAGCCTCCTGCCGCTTTTATTACCGGTTCGCAAGAACCGGACCGAACTGGAACAACCCACTACTGCTGCACACCAAAATGGCAGTATGTAGGCTTTAGAATGGGACAGAACTGCCATGGAACATCAACAGGAGATGTCTATTGTATGGAATACTCATATCCATGGAATCCTACTGTAGTAAAGAAAGTAAACCATGGCTGATGGCGGTAACAGCTTTTGATTTGGCTGAAGATGATGATTTGGCTGAAGATGGTAAGGGATGGTATGATCCAGTAAAATTCAAATTGGTGCCTTCTATATATGTTTTGGGATTCCAACTTTAGAAAATGTTCTGAAATATGCTAGCAAAGAATTCTGAAATTCCAATTCCAACACACTTTAGGATACCAGAGTAGTAAAAAGCTGTTCTATTCTACCTGGAGAAAAACAGATATAGGCTTACATGAGCCTATTCTGCCCTGTAAACCTGGAATTCTACACAAACTTTTAAGTAAATCATACTCATTTTAAAAAAGAATATGCACATGACTGAACTGAGAGTTACCATATGCAGTAACAATTATAGCAAGTGCAGAAAAAGATGAAGGATCTATTTGACTGTAAGAGGGCTTGATACCTAATGGTTTTAACTATCTGTTTTCATAGAAATATACTACTTGGTTTAACATTTCCTGACCCTCGAAATCTGATTCCCATTGTTCCCAAAATTTCAGAATCAAACAAACTTACCAATCTTTTGTCTCTTTTCAGATTCAACTTTGTTTGAACTGTTTGATGTGTAGATAGATTGATCTGAGTCAGATGAGGAAGAAGAACTGGATTGGTATGAAGCTGGAAAAGAAATGTAGGGGGGAAATATGAGAACATTCAGAAGTCAGAGTAACAAATCTGGCACAACCCCCACCCCCCTTCCAATTGCAGTTTCTCAACCACAGTAGCTGCTAGATAGGATGAGATGAATAAATTGTTGGATTATTTACTCAGTTCAATCACTGAAATCTTACTCCACAGTTTGGATAATATGAAAGATATCTTTCTTCATCCTTTAGATAACTCTAAACCACCAATGGCAAAAATTTCCAATAATTAAAAAAGGTAAATTTTCCCTGTCCAGTCACGTCGGATTCTAGGGGGCAGTGCTCATTTCTGTTTCATAGCTAAGGGAGCCAGTAGTTGTCCGAAGACACTTTCATAGTCATGTAGCCAGCATGACTATACACCAAGGGGCACAGAACACTGTTGCCTTCTCATTGAAATGGTATCTATTTATCCCCTCACATTTACATGGTTTCAAACTGCTAGATTGGCAGGAGCTGCAGCAAATAATGGGAGCTCATGCTGTCACATGATGCAGTCTCAAACCCGAGCAGTCAAGCTTTCCAGTTGACAAGTTCAGTACCATAGTGCCCCATTTTCCAATCATTATGGGAATTTAGTAACACATTCCAACTAATTTTTCAGTGAATCCTAAACCCATAAAATCCATGGTGTAGTGTCATATGACCACATTTTTATACACATTTTTCCCAACACTTTGTTTTTCTATACAACATTCAGGAAACGCTCCCATTTTCTACCCTGTTTCCCCAAAATAAGATAATAATAATAAGCCCAATTGGGCTTTTGAGGGCATATGCTAAAATAAGCCACACACACCCTCCCCTGAAAATAAGCCCTCCCTGAAAATATTTAAACACATGTACAGCCGGTCCCTGCCATTTCCTCTGGTTAGGGTTAGGGAGACAGAGCTGGAAATCACGTAGGATGGCAAGAGGAGTTCCATCTTGCTCCACACGCCGCAAAATAACAAGACATCCCCGAAAATAAGGCCAAGCACTTATTTCGGGGCTCAAAAGAATATAAGTCAGGGTCTTATTTTTGGGGAAACACAGTAAGAAAGTACTATACTCTTTTTTTCACCTATGAAATTCTCTCTCGTTTTCTTACATAACAAATAGAGAAGAAAGAATGTGGGAAGCAGGGAAAAGATTATTCATTGGGTTTTACAGATAATCCTCAATTTATGACAAGTAGGACCAGAATTCATCACAAACCAATGTAATTTGTTAAGTGAGACATTATGTGACTAGATGAATTTACAATTTTTACTATTGTGGTTGAGCAAATGATGGCAGTTGTTAAATGAATCAGATGGTCATTAAGCACATCCAGATTCCTTCATTGGCTTTGCTTGTCAGAAGCCAGCCAGGAATCATGATTATGTGACTCCAGGATGCTGCAACCATCACAAATGCGAGACAGTTGACAGATTCCCAAATTGTGATGACATAACTGAGAGTGGTATGATGGTTGTAATTTCTAGGATGGTTGTTAAATCATTTTTTCACCAAAAATGCAACTTCAAATTGTGATTAAAATAATGGTCTTAAATTATGGACCACCTGCAGATTTATACCTGGCTTTTATTTTTAACAACTCAAGTTGTCACATATAACATTACCTATTTGCTCCATAATAACACTGTGAGATAGCTTAGAAAAAGTGACTGGCCAATTTAAAAAGAGGATTACAGCTTAGACTGTAGCCCAGCATCTTTACTAGACCAAACTTTTTTTCTTTTTGTAGCCCAATCCAAATCCAAATACTCTTGATGAGTTGTACATGCAAGACTCACTCCCCACATTATAGATGCCAATAACCAGCACCATGAGTGATGGATCCATCCAGGGGATAGCTAATTAAGCCTGTTAATTTGGTAGTTCAACTTTAATTTAGGCATCTTTTGCTCCAAAAATTCCAATGTGTCTTTGTTGCCCTGGGCAATGCTGAATTTCTCAAGATCAATCCCTTCTTTTGCCAGAAAGAAGTTTGCAATTTCTTAACTCTCAGGCCAGCATTGCTGAAAATGTATAGACAGAAATAAAAGTTCAGAAAAGCCACGAAGAACAAATTAATACATCAAACCAAAGCAAGAATACCCCAAAGGCCATATTCACAAAAATGGCAGTTGTTGTTGTTGTTAATTCTTTAATCAGATTAAACCTACCAGGCTTCTTTTCAGATGCATCTTGGTTTACACTCTTTGATATACAGGTAGACTTTTTTGAATCAGAAGAGGGAGAATGGCTGGTTTGGGATGAGGAGCAGCTGAGGGAAGCTAAAATATTAGAAACGTAAAGGGGAAAAGTGAGAACACTCAGAAGTCAAAGTAACAAATCTGGAGAAAAAAAAAAAGCCTTCCAACTGCAGATTCTCAACTACGCTCTGGAAAACCGATTGATTATGCACCATAATAGGGACACGGTCACAGAATGTGGATCATCAGTTTATTTTTTTCAGGGAGATTTAGCTATACTTCATGCTTACCATGATATGAAGGAAGATTTCAAAAGTGGTTCACCTTTGCTTCTTTCTAGAGGCGAGAGTGAGACTGATCAGTCACCCAGCTGGCTTTCTACATGAGGGCCAGAATTTGGGTTTACCCATTCCTAGCCTAGCATCTTTATTCACCACAATGAATTCGCTCATATTCCTCCACACATCCTTCTAAAATTATAGCTTCCCTATAATAAATTTCAAGAGGTTCGAGTAGATTTGATTTTGTCTTGATCAGTTGAATGCTATGCCCCACAAACATTATTGGATCAAGAGCTTCTACAGTACAGGGACCATATCTTCAGAAGAACTTCTTGGCTCCCTTCCTCCTGTATTTCAGAATGTAATGTAGTAATGAAATTATAAGCTTTACTTATGCCTCCTCTCCTAACACTGGCTGGATTTGCTTAATATGACTCTTGCCACTACTATCTTTTCCATTGTGACATCATAGTGAGTCCAGGTGAATTTAAAGTGCTTGGGATTAGCTCACTGAAGTTGTACTTCCCAGTTGTTCTTTATTGATGGCCTCAATGAAGACTTTCTGTACAGGTGAACACTCAAAGCATTCACTGATTCTACTGGGAGCCCTCCTTGGTAATTAATTAGCAGAAAACCGAGTGGCTGTTTTTTGCCAAGAAATCCAAAAAATTTAATGAGGCACCAAAGAGAATGAAATAGATATTAAAAATTTTAGGTATTTGGGTATAGTATTCCAGTCTCCCAGTGACTGAAACATGTACACTGATTATATTGTTTCACAAGTATAAAAGAATACAGCAGCTACTATGATTTTTATGATATTTGGACAAACCATTTCTTTCTCCTTTTGGAATACACATAGGCTAAAATTATAATTAGAAAAAAAGTAGTCCAAAAAAGGTAGTCCACCATCACATTGGAACCCAAAATTTTCATTGCTAAACAAGTCAGTTAATAAATGAGCTTTGCCCCATTTTACGACATGGCAGTTCCATCAGTCCCTGGTTACCATCACTAAGGAAGGTCCATGCAGATTTGTTAAGCAAGGACCTCATGTGACCAAGATATCCCACTTCCTGCAGGCTTCTTATTGACTTGGCTTGTGAGAATCCTACAGGAAAGTCACAAATTATGATCAAATGATCACGGATTCTGCAACAGTTGGAAATTTGGACATGTTTCTGAGCAGATTGCAATAATTTCAGAAGTTCGCAGATCATTTGTAAATACTATTCTTTCAATGTTGCTACTGAACGAGCAGTCCATTAACTGAGGACTACCTAGAAAGAAATAGGTGTCATCTTCCATGATCATCCCGCTCATTTGAAGACCCAAATCCTGGAAGCATATTATCACCACCGATCTTAGTCTGAACTTAGTCTGAAAGTGATATTAGGCATGCAGGACTGTTGAAATACATATATATGAGCTAAATTTCACTTTATTGGTAGTTCACATCCCTTCTTTATTTTATTGCTATTTTCTGCCAGAACTATCTTGCTCAACATAAGCATGCTCTTTTAAATGCCACAAAGCCACTCCATATTCATCTATCCAAACATCTGTTTGCCCATCCATTACATTTCTTACCTGACTTAAGTTGAATCCTACAATTCCTATTTTTATTCCTGCTTATTACCAGCTCAGGAATCTCCTGGAGGCAGGAAACTATGTCGCTAAAGCCAACTTGATAGCAAAATACTTCCAGATCATATCCACATTTCTTCTTCACTTCCTCTTTTAACTTCGACAATTTCAAGCCATCAGGATATAATTTCAAGATGCTACAAATTGGCACTGATGCAACTGTTAAATCTGCAAATGAAGATAATGACTTCAATCCCCATATTATATAATTAGCAAATAGCCTTGCTATAAATGAATAATACTTCAGGAGTAAACCTTGCAGCTCCTAGAAATCTCCAAAAGTTCCAAATTGTAATTTCAAGTGACAGAAGGATGAAATAATTCAGTGTGGAACTTGAAAACAGCCGCATTAACTATACTTAAAATTGATGAAAATTCATGAAGTCAAATGAAATTTTGCTCCTGGCTTTATTCAGTACATTTTTAAGGAGATGGCACTTTGCTCAATAACCAAAAGGCCAAAGGCAGCTTCTGGAGTCAAGAGGTGCTACTTTTCCAGCCAGCTTAAATTCAAGGAAATGGATTAGAAAAGGTTTTGAAGGAATGCCCAGAGAATCAACTGTTAGGTAAGAACTAATTTCATCAACACACATACAGTATATTTGTATACTCCTCAAAACCTCTTATTGTTTTAAGGGCAAGGGTGATTTTTAGCCTTCTTTCCTGCAGAAATTTGTATAAGAGAAAGAAAGAAGAAATTCACAATCAACCAATTGAAATTGTGAAAGTATTCCATTCCCATCTCCTTGTGATATGTTTATAAGATTAGAGAAAATCAACTACACCAAGGCCATGCTGTTATGTTTCCTGGAAGTCCTCATTGGCCATTGAGAAATTATTTCTATGTAATGTAAAGTACAAAACCCTTTTTCCAAGAATAAGGCTAGTTTCTGATAGAGGAAAACTGAACATTAGGATAAGAGGTTTTAAAAAAGGGGATAAAAGAGAATGTTTTGCTCTCTTACTTCTACTGAGATTGTAATTATTGCAACAAAGAAGAAAGGCTCACTTATCAATAAATAAATTTAGGAATGCAGTACTGAACAGGATTTCTATTCTTTCAGAATATAATGTAACATTCCTCTATGAATACAGTATTTAATTTTTTGAGAAACAGTCTTCTTGCTCCAAAATATTTTTAACCATGACAAATCACGTCAGGGAGATAGAAAGAACTGTCATGAGGGCTCCTTGGTGCCTTTTGACCTTGGGTAATGTAAGATCTACAAGAAAACAGCTGAATTTGGTATTATCAACGCTCTCCTTTATTAGAACTTTCATGGCTTTTAATAAGTATTCCCTGATATGGCAACTCCATCAGTCATGGTAGGTAACTAAAGAAATAGTAAGATCGGTGTTTTCCAATATGGGAGTTTCCAAATATATTAATTCCAAATTCCCCACTACCAGAATGACCAGATCAAGTTCCCTAAGGATGTTCCATGCACAAACAGTTCTGAGCATAGAACAGATACTTTCAGGTGGTCTGTATCCAGTCCAAACATTTTGAGTTATGGAAAGAGTTTGTTATTGTCCAGGGGTGGGGGCAAAGAAGTGGCAAAATACCAAGATTGAGATTGACAGCAAGGGCAGGCAGTAATTAAAAAGAAAGGAAAAGAAAGCAATAGGAAGGTAGACAGTCCTATAATTGAGGGTATCAGTAATGTCTTATAATGATGCACACAGAAGAAGACACTGGGATGATTAGGGAGGTAAGCTGACTGGTTTGGTATGTACCATGCCTGAACCAAGAATACAGGCAATTATTAAAAGTGTTGTAGAGAAAGAAATTCACTGGTAAGATTAGCAGATAGAACAGTGCACAAGTCATGGAAAGGAAGAAGGATAATGCATCCTAGCCTTGTCCTACTCACCACATGAAAACCTTATAGACTTTTTTTTCTCCCATAATCTGGAAAACCAAAATGTTCTGATTTCAGTTTTGCCGAGTCTGAATCTACTTGGAATATATGGCTGAAACTCTGAGATATAATGGATTTCATGCATTTTTTTTTAAGTTGCTCATATTGGGATGACCTGAGATAAATAAATGATCTGATTTGAATTAGCCAATTCCACAAGATGACAACTGGGCTAAAATCCTTTTAAGAAAAAGTTCTGGGAATTTGTTTCTAATTTCAAGCAAGTAGAGAAGGTTTTAAAGAAACCATCCAGTTTTTTTGGAAGCATCTGTTTGGATGATGTGTGGAAAAGGATGATGAATTTGATAAAGAGTTTTTAGCTCATCCAGCAGTTTAACCTTTCTATACAATGTACAGAGCCATTTCTAATTATTACATTAAATATTATTACATTATACTTATATTATTTATTAAAATAAAATTGAGATTTTATGGCTATACCTTGAGCAAGCTGGACAACATATTTATTCCCTCGATGTCTGATGATTAGATTAGGTATATGGTCACCCAAAAAGGTTAGGACATCCTTATAGCCTTTGGTGATGCTGAATGTCTGTAGATCAATTCCAATTGTGGAAAACAAGAGTGTCTGCATTTTCTCAAACTGCAAACCTGACCCATATCCTAGTAGGAGGTTGGTAACTGCTGCTAAGACTTCAGCCAGATCTACCAAATAATGCAAATCAGTGATCAAAAAACAATCCACATCTCAATATAGTATTTTATAATGATATTATAAATTATCTTAGTCTGAACCTGTCTTCTCCCTGTAGTTCTATGTAGTCTGCCACTAACTTGGTCATTCTTATATAAACATGCTAAAGAAATTTGAAATAACAATAATCATTATCAAATATATATTAATTAGAATGTAAATTGGAATAATGTATAAGGTGAAAACCTAGAAATATTTCTTGGTGATCTATTATATTTGCAATTTGAAAAAGTAGCTTTTATCATCTAAAAGAGCTGAGAAGTATGCTAGCATTCTGCATTCCATAATTTCCATCAGTTATATGGTTTCAAATAAATGTAATTTTGTAACCTGAATTACCATCGGATGGACAAGTATTTCATTTAGATGATTAGATGCAAGGGAATTGCAGAAGACTGGATAAAAGGTGAAGATATACTTTTATGAAACTTTGCATCAGTCATTCATTTCAATGTGCTATCTGACATGTAGAAACTAGGCAATATGCCCAGTGAATACTGTATTTTTCGGTGTATAAGACACACTTCCCCCACCCCCCAAAAAAGTGGGTGGAAATGTCTGTGCATCTTATACAGCGAATGTTGCCGAAGCCCTACCCACCCATCAGCCCCCACCCCCCACCGCCTATCAGCTGTTCCAGGTTGCAGGGATCCCCATCACTGCCGTTGCCTATTAGAACCTCCACGCATCCCATTTTAGGCCTCTGCACATTCCATTTTTGGCCTGTTTCACGCGGTGGGGATAGGCAGCAGTGGCAGCAATCCCTACCACCTGGAATGGGCCAAAAATGGGACATGTGGAGGCAGCGATAGGTGGCAGCAGTGATGGGCTGTGATGGCGGCAATAGCCTGGAACAGCTGATAGGCGGTATTCCAGGAGGCAGATCCAACCACCAATCAGCTATTTGTGCTAAATCAGGCTGTGCTGAAGCTGACCAGGCTGTTTGCTACTTGCTGCAAGGAGGTAAAATCGTAAGAGACAGAGGCAGATTTTTTCTCCCTTGTTTTCCTCCCAAATGCTAGGTACGTCATATACTTCGGAGAGTCTTATAGTCTGAAAAATATGGTAAATGAATAGAGCATTGGGCTACTTATGATTGCTTCAATTAAATTGCATTGCTGTTAGGCCATAAGACCAAGCAAAATTTATGTCCTATCCAACTTGCAATACAGCTAGGTCTTGAGTTACAACCATAATAGAGCCTACCCATTACGGTTGCAAATTATGACGGTTGTTAAGTGACACCATGATTACCTCGTTTAACAAACATCACCCCTCCTCTTCCTGATGAGGATGTTAAATGACCACTTATTAAGCAGAGCACTGGGTGCCTCAGGGATAAGGGGCAACAGAAGCTATCAGCATGTACAGGTTTGCTACAGCTTACAGGCCAAGGTCTCCTACTCAGCCACTCAGTCATGCAAGAGAATGTAAAGTGACCCAGAGACCCAGGGTTCAGCCTGCTCCTTAGCCAGCTCCAGGGCCCAGCAGCACTAATTGAAGGAGCTGGTTGTCACCTTTAAAACTCTTCATGGCTTGGGATCAGTTATGAGGGACCATCTCTTGCTGGTCACATCTACCTGACCCACTAGAGTGGGGAGACAAGGAATGTTGCGGATCTCATCCCCTAAGGAGATACATCTGGCGGGACCCAGAAGAAGGGACCTTCTCCGTAATGGGTTCCTTCCCTCTGGAAATTAGACTGGCTCCCAATTTAACACTCATTCAGAAGGCCCCGAATAAGTAGTTCTGCCAACAGGCCTGGAAACCCAGAGGGGAACGGAGCACATTAAATGGCTGGTATGAGTGTGTGTTATGTTATCACCGGGGTGGGAACCAGTTATTTTACCAGCCAGTTATTTTATTATGGTGGGAGAAAATTTTATTATTTTTATTTCTTTTATATTGTTACTATTTCCTGTAAGCCGCCTTGAGATGCTCTGTGCAAATAGGAGGCAATATAAATTTTCCAAACAAAATAAAACATACCTTTCCCTTTTTTTTTCAGTCACCAGGTCAATGTGAGATTAAGCTTTCCTACAGAGGCTGCCTCATGGGAACCACTTGCTGTTCTGTAGGCAGTATTATTCTCATGGTTCTCTAGGGGGCTCTGCTTTTTAAGGAGATTCCACAAACAAACAGAGCCTAGAATGTGGTTCACATGAGGTGGCCTCTGTAGGAAAACTATGATCGCATTGGCCAGGACACTTCTCTGCAAAAAACAGAAAGGCAAGTTGGATGCTGCTGGGCCCTGGAGCTAACCAAAGAGTAGACTAAGTCCTGTAAGTTCCTGTGTGGGACAACCTGCAACAGTCCTCTGTGTGCCAGTAGTTTAAGTCTACTGGCTTTAGGATTCCTTAGCCAGTTGGGTGGGAAGCAGGCTTCAGCTGTGGGGACATGTATAGGCATGAGTGGGGCTGATAGGTAGAGGGCCACTGCAATATCCCTGCAGTTACTTGTAAGGGTGAACAAATGAAGGGCTACTGCAGCCATCATAATTTTGAAACTGGATCATAAATAGCTTTTAGAGTCTGTTGTAATTTGAACCAGTCATGGGGGGAAGGGGGAGACACACCTGTATCTACAGTGGAAGAAGAGACTTTAAGAATGGGCAGCACACAAAGCAAATAAATAAATGAAGTTTCAGACAGCCAGATATAATGCCAAATATATGAGGCAACTGTTATAGTTCTAGCTGTACTGGGCTGCCATTTTCCCAATAAGGTAATGCATTTACCTGCTGCTGCTTTATCTTCCCCTTTTGCTCTTTTTTCTTCCTCCTTCAATCTTGAATCTTCCTGTTCAAAACTGTCCGGTCCATTTTGTTCGATTTCATCCAGCAGGCCATCAAGATTTAAATCATTTATTAGCTTCATTACTGGTTCAGATGATTTGCTGCATTCTATAACTACAGTTTCCTTCATATCACCCAGCAACCCTCTGAGTGAACTATACCCGTAATGAGAGAATTGAGGATGAAAATGATGGATTTGATAAAATGCACCACTAAAGTCCCCAAATTTGACACCATTTGGGTAGCGGATTAGCAGTTGCAATATATTGTATTTTAAGATGTCGGGATCATTCAGCTCCATCGGTACCTAAATCCAAACAAACATGTCAACAACATCAACATTGTTTTATATCATTTGGGGACTTATCAAACCTGGTCCTAAAAACAAATGAATGCACTCTCACGAACCAAACCTCCTCTAAGAATATCATAACAGTGTAAATGATTGTCAAATTCCCAACCAACACATGAATAAAGAAACAAACCAATAAAACTTAGCTACCTCTGAAGGGCTAGAAAAAAGCTGGAAATCAGTAAAGAGTAAAAATGGTAGTAGATTAGATGCCATCAGCCGGCTTTCTCATTGTTTACTGATCATAACAAGCTGTAACTTGTTTAATAATTATGGCTTAGTGGAACATGTGACCTGAGCTGTTTTATTCCAACAAATTTGGGCTCCACACTCATTTGCACTATTCAGGTGACCCTGTGGGTATAAAGGTCCAAATGTCCTTGATGATTCTCAGAAAGAGTGCTAACAACTAGGTGACTAAAAGAAATATAAATCTATTTTCCATCATTTGGTCAGAACTGAAGCAGCTTTTTGGATGAGAAGGGAAATGTCTTCAAGGAAAACAAGGGAAAACAAAGAAAGTCCAGTTGCCTTTTGAAAAAGCACCTTTGGGATAATTATGATCTGGATGACTGAAAATCTCCATAGACATTGATCAGAATTTCTGTTGCTAAACAAGACAATTAAGTGAATTGTGCCCAATTTTACAACTTTTCTCATGTTGTTCAGCAAATCATTACAGCTGTTAGGAGAATCATGTGGTCAGTAAGCAAATCCAGTTTGCCGGATTGACTCTCCTTGTTGGAAACCAGCTGTGACAGTTGCAAATGGTGATCATATAACACTGGAGATGCTGAACAGTTGTATATAGAGCATTCAAAAGCATTCATATGATTGTGAGAATGCTGTGATGTTTGTAATAATAAGGACCAGAAGTATAAGGTGGAAGTCATTTTTTTCAATGCAATTTTGAATGGTTGCTAAACAAATAGTTTTAATTAAGGACTATCTGTAGTTCCATTAAGTGATAGTAAAGCACAAGTAGCCATAAGCAGGGCTTTATAGTCCAGGAATGGGTGCAACTCATCCATGCAACTGAGCAGCCACTATGAGGCCAGAATGCACAATAAGTCTGAATAAGATAAGTGTCACCTCATTCAGAACCAAAGACAGGAACCTTTCGATACCAGATCTGGAGGACCTAAAACCCATAACTACTCAGTTTTTTTGCAAAGTTCAACTACAGCCTGTTCTTCCCTATTCAAACTTTGGATTTTAGAAACTGTTAGAATTTATTTCTGGTCAAGTTTATATAGCAATTATGGGTAAACTACAGTTCCTGATATACTTTTCCATGACCCTGTATCATGTTGGAAGGAAAATTGTCATTAGCAATATAATATATCAAATATTGACAAATAACTGTTTATCCTTGTAGTATAGAACTAGAGCTCCTAACTGAGGTTTATTTCAAAACAGAACCTAAAGTCCATATTAAGCCATGTCTTATGATTTATTGAAAACACTCCTAAGCAATGTACTGAAACCCATACTGAGTGGGTTTACCAAGGCATTATGCCTTAAATAAAGCACATGTTGGTTTAGCATATGAATGCAGCCCAAAACATTCACTACAAACCATCCAGGACAAAGGCAGTATCATTAAAACAATTACATTTATATAATGCCTTACAAATTAAGAGTTGCAAGAACCCTTCCTTTAATGTGTAGGGAGTAAAAAGAGAAGGGACCTCTGGTGGCCCTCCTCTTATCAGTTTACATTGCTAGAGGAAGGGAAGAAAAGTCTTCAGAATTGCAAATGGAGACTTCTCTGATAAAGCTGAAACTGAGAACCAGGCACTCTCAAAACTTTCTGGGAAAAAACCAACAAACCATAGTCGGTTTTTTTTTTTACTTCTGAACAAAAACTCAAGCACATACATGTTTCCCCTGCGTTCATTATACAAGCCTCTCGAGATGCATGGGACTGCTTAACCGGCAAAAAAGCAATAAACTTTGGACAACTGTGAACAAACACAACTATAATTTCAGGTAATGCTAGCTGATAAAAATCAACAGAAGCCTTGATAATAGTCCTCACTCAAGATCTTTTTACGGAAGGGCACTTTATAATCGAGCTGTGATGCCAATACAAATCAGTTTTTGACTCCTCGCGACGGCTTGAACTAGAAAAATGGCTTGCCATTGCCTGCCTCCTGGGACTGAGAATGAGTGACTGGCACAAGACTCCTGGTCTCCCGCTTTCTAGACTGGTGCCTTAACTATTACATCAAACTGGCTCTTATAATATCAGGCTTTAGATACGGACCTCCACAAAATACGTATTTTCAAGTTTAAAAAAACCCAGTAGCCTGGTAGCACCTTTTCCGACAAACAAACTCCATTCGAAGACATACGCTTTTCCCTACTCAGACTCCCTTTGAATTTGTGTAATTACTGGCTACTCAGCCGGCTTCCCACCAACTAGACTTGGAAGTGGCAGAGAAATGGGGACGGCGGGAGAGAGAGAGAGAGACACGTGAATTTATTCCAGAGTCAATATGAGTACACTGAGATAAAGAAACGACCACTTTCCAATCCTTACCTAAGTTAAGCCTTTTCTTCTGAAGGGGGTTGGAAGAAGCTGAAAAAAACAAAAGAAAAGAGAGTTTAGTAGCCGTAGCAAAAAGAAAAAAGAAAAAAAAAACACGCCCGAGCCCTTTCCTCTCTCTTCGTCATGTGATCACAAATGCAGGAGCACGTGACTAGGTTCCGCCTCCTCCCTGAAGAGAGTTTGGCGGGGATGGGCGGTTCTTAGTCACCTGGAAATGTTAAAACCACAATCAGAACGTTGAGATGGAGAAATAAAAGCCTGGAACGCGCAGAGAATTCGAAGAAGCGCCACGTGAGGCATTACATATTACGAAAATCCGAACCGCTAGTAGCAAAAAGATACAGCAAACTGGCTTCGTTGCGATCCGAGAGTTATCCGAAGTTTTGTACCCCGAAATTTTCCATTGCCCTTTTGGAGGAGTAATTAAGGAAATTGCTGGCCAGGTTCACATTTTGAGTTAAAACTGAATCACCCACGAATTTTTCGGTTTTGCTTTATTTGTGAAGCCAGCTTTTGTGGGTTATAAGCTGTGGTTTAAGGCTGAATTCCTTTGGGCACCATTTGGGTTTGCTCGATTAAGGCATGTTTCTGCTCAGTTTGTGAATGCCGTTGCCCATCTCCCGTGTAAACGTTTGAAGTCGCATGACGAATGATTTCAAAAGCACAGGAAATCACAATGTAATAAAAAACTTGAGCAGTTAGTATTGGATGTAAGAACAAATTGGTGTTCTCTATAAATACTGATATAAATATACACAATAATAGGAGATGGCTATACTGCTTTAGTGACCATACTCTGAACTCTCCCTCCAAACCAGGAGTGCACAAGAAATTTGCGCTCCTGGTTTGGAGGGAGAGTTCAGAGTATTTAGAGTTTAAAAGTTTGTGGCAATTTATGGAGCTCTCTGAATATTCATACCCTATGCTTTCCAAGGCTATATTTATAGGCCAGAGTCACATGTTAAGTCAGACCCACTTAGTACACAGGTCTTGCCATCTTTATGTGAGGTAGTTTAGGCCAGGGGTCTCCAACCTTGGCAACTTTAAGACTTGTGGACTTCAACTCCCAGAATTCCTCAGCCAGCTGGCTGACGAATTCTGGGAGTTGAAGTCCACAAGTCTTAAAATTGCCAAGGTTGGAGACTCCTGGTTTAGGCAACCAAACCTAGATTACAAAAATAATTGATCTTGGGCTGAATACCAATGCAGAGGCAACAAAGAACTATAGAAAACTATTACAGAACTCTGCAATGGTCTTGTCTAGTGATATTCAAAAAATCGTAGCCCAAATATGATAGTGAAAATCGTGGGAATCTCAATTTGTTCTTCCCAATCATCACTCTTAATAAAACTAGAGCCTTTACTGCAGGCATTGGCTGAGTTTGACAGGTCATTAGTATTCTCTGAGCTTGGTTATTTCCTCACAGATGATTCATTATTCAAACTAGGTAACATTATCAATGCTATTGGCTGAGTTTATAGAACACACTAGACTCTGCAATTGGTACTTTATGGGATAGGAACATGATGAAAACCCAGATAAACAAGGCTTGCTTATAGTTTCATGCACTGTATAAATCCAATGGACTACGTTAATGAAAATGTGCAAACACAAGAGTAGGCTGTAATAGAGGCAATACAGGTAGTCCTTAACTTATAACCATTGATTTAAAGTTACAATAACGCTGCAAAAGTGACCTGACAAACCTCACACTTACAACGGCTGCAATACAACCAGACCTCACACAATGGCCGCAATATCCCTGCAGACATGTAATCAGAATTTGTTTGCCTGGCATGTATTTGTAATGTCCTAGGGTCATATGATTGCTATTTATGACTGTCCCAGCCTGTTTCTTGCAAATAAAGTCAATAGGGAAACCTGGATTAATTTTAAAGACTGAATGACTGCAATTACTCCTTAACTGTGGCAAAAAGATCAGAAATTAGGAATGACTCATATAATAACCACCTTGCTTAACAACAAAAATTCTGATCTCAATTGTCATAAATCAAGGACTAGCTAGCATCTATTACAGCTGTAGAAATAGGATTTGAAACATTTACTGCTTCAGAAGTTGGCCACTAGATGGCAGCAGGAGGAGTTACAGCAATAAACCAGTTTTGTATTTTAGTATAAATTAGACTAATTTTGAGCTCTCCGTTGAAATTATTTATATTTTTCCTGTAGCAGCCAAGCTTTAGTGTGAGTAAACTAGAATCTGAAAATGTTTGATAGCAAAAGGCTTCAAATAGTAAATTATATAAAGCTTATTAACGGGGAGATCATTTTTTTTTTCAGGTGCAGGAGGCGGCGAGCACAGTCACCTCATGGCTACTGGGCCCCTTAACTGTCAGCCCACATACCAGCTGATCCAGCGAGGGCCAGGAGTTCTGTCTTTCTGGCTGCCAGGAAATATTTCCAGCGCACTCTTGCTACCCCAGCCCTGCCCACAGCGCCAGGCAATCTTGCAGCCGAGGCCCCTTCTGCAGAAGCAGCTCACCTTGAGCCTATGGACCAGGCGGAGAGCACGGTATGCGCTCCGCCAGGCCTGGGGCTCGGATGTTGCTTAGGCTGCTGCTACGATGAAGCAGAAAGCCATGCGGCTGTCTGAATTGGCTCCCACCATCACCACCTCTACCTTGCTGCTGCATGAGAAAAGGACAGGCAATTCTGGAAAATTGTGGGAAGCGTGCAGTGATGAAATGTAAAATTTGTTACTACTGGTTCTGTGGGAGTGGCTTGGGGGGTAATGTGACTGGTGGGCGTGGCCAACTTTTTTTTTTTTTTTTACTTTTAAAAGCATTTTTTCTACAACCTCTTTGGCCGAAAAGGTTGCAGAAAAAAATGCTTTTAAAAGCCTCTGATGATCAGGCAACTCAGTTGGGATTGTCAAAGACTTTTAAAAGCATTTTTTTCTACAGCCTCTTCAGACGAAGAGATTGTAAAAAAAATGCTTTTAAAAGCCTCTGATGATCCCAGCTGAGCCGCGCGATCATCAGAGGCTTTTTTTTTTTAACTTTTAAAAGCATTATTTCGGCCAAAGAAGTTGTAGAAAAAATGCTTTTAAAAGTTAAAAAAAAGCCTCTGATGATCACACGGCTCAACTGGGCATGGGGGGGGCAGAGATTTTTGCTACCGGTTCTCCAAACCACCCGCCACCATTGCTATCGGATCGGGTGATCCGGTCCGAACCAGGAGTATTTCACCCCTGGAAGCGCGTGCTTACAATAGAAGCAAAGCCCAGCCTGTACCTTTCAAGCGATCAAATGTCTTTGTGTGAGAGAGAGAGAAAGAGAGAGAGAAAGAGAAACGACGGAGGGCAGTAACAAGAATTTCAGGCAACACTGTTTGAAAGGGTTTCCTCTATGCCATTTATCTTTCTCGCTCCACCCACCTGCACGCCCACCACACCTGGGCCTGCCAGGCACTGTCCCCCCCCCAAACCAAGCGGTGAGGAGGCTTCAGGACAGCTTCCATCTAGCACCCGCCACCCTGGCAAAAGTGAAGCTGAAGCAGGTGGCACAATGAGTCTGGCAGAGTTTGGGGGAGAGAGAGAAAGACTTCTGCTGCTTCTGCTGCTTTTGTTGCGTGCAACCAAAAGATCACAAAAGGCAGGAAGGTGAAATGCCAAATTCAGCCAGTACTCACACCTCGTCTATGGGCCACCCCCGAGCAGGGCAGTGATGGAGTGGCCATCGGAGGAGCCCTGTGCAGCCCCTACCTGCTTCAGCTTCACTTTTGCCAGGGTGGCGGGTACTAGAAGGGCACTGTCCCAAAGCCTCCCTGCCACTTGGTTTGGGGTGGACTGTGTCCGGTAAGCCCAGGTGCAGTGGGCAGGCAGGTTGGTGGAGCAGAGAAGCGAAACAGCGGAGAGGAAACCATTTCAAACAATGTTTGACCGGGGAAGGGAAAGGCTGCCTCCTGTGCTGGCCACACCCACCCCCTTCACTAGGGCTTATTTTGGGGATAGGGCGTATATTTGCCCCACCCCAAAAATCATGCTAGGACTTATTTTTGGGGTAGGTCGAGGAAATACGGTAGAAGATCTTACTTATATTCCTATTCTCAGTCACCATTTTGGCCCACTTATCCTTGATACCAGCCCTACAACCACAGTTGCAATTTCTTTCCCTAAGTGTTATGGCTGCTAAGTGAGTCATGTCACCGGGCCCAATTATACAATCTATTTTGCCAATCATTAAGCAAACGAGTCGTTTCCCCCATTGACTTTGCTTGTCAGAAGTTGCCTAGAAATTTGCAAATGGCAGCCTCGGATGCTGCAACCTCCATAATTGCATGCCAGTCGCCAAGACTGAATTAGGTCCATGTGACCACAGGGCTCCTCCTCCTGTCATATCATAAGCCACTCTATTTTCAATGCCAGGGCACATTCAAATGGTTATTAAACAAATGGTTGTAAGTTGAAAATTATCTTATTTTGAGTTTTCTCATGTTTATGATTAACTTGCCTATTTACTGATAGCCCTCAGTTTACAACCATTTCTTTAATGGTTGTTCAAAGCTACAATGATACTGAAAAAAGTGATTTAGATCTTTTTTCACACTTATAACTGTTGTACCATCCCCATGGTCACATGATCAGAATTTGGATGCTTGGCACCTGGCATATTTACAAAGATTGTGGTGTCCTGTGGTCATGTGATCACCATTGGTGGCCTTCCCCCAGCTACTTTCTTGTAAGCAAAATCAAGGTGGGAAGTTAGTTTCATTTACCGACACATGATTAATAACTGGCAAAAAAAGGTGGTAAAATGGGACAAAACTCCTTCACTTAGTAAGAGAAATTTTGGGTTCCATTGTGGTCGTAAATTGAGGACTACCTGTATTTGATTGATCCAATTTTCTGAGTTTGCTCCAGCCCAAAACTGTTCCTGCCTGGAATGTTTAAGCACAATTGAACACATTGATATGGAGATTTGATTCACATAGTGGGGAGAGGAGGTTTCCCTTACAGCCTGTATACACATCCTCAGATATTGAGGGGTTTTGTAGATAAAAACCATAA